CAGTAGTAGCACGATCCAGTGCTGAGACTGAGTATAGAACAATGATACATACAACTAGTTAGCTAACATGGTTACTACACTTTCTTCGAGAAATTGGTTTTGCAGTTCAATTTCCTTTACAATTATTCTGTGATAATCAAGTAGCTCTTCATATTGCTGCCAATCTAATATTTCATGAGAGGACCAAACATATTGAAGTTAATTATTAGTTTATTTGAGACAAGATATTAAATGGAGATATTGCAACTCTATTTGTGAGATCTGAGGTTCAACTTGCGGACATGTTCACTANAGAAATTGGTTTTGCAGTTCAATTTTCTTTACAATTATTCTGTGATAATCAAGTAGCTCTTCATATTGCTGCCAATCTAATATTTCATGAGAGGACCAAACATATTGAAGTTAATTGTTAGTTTATTTGAGACATNAATTTCCTTTACAATTATTCTGTGATAATCAAGTAGCTCTTCATATTGCTGCCAATCTAATATTTCATGAGAGGACCAAACATATTGAAGTTAATTATTAGTTTATTTGAGACAAGATATTAAATGGAGATATTGCAACTCTATTTGTGAGATCTGAGGTTCAACTTGCGGACATGTTCACTAAAGAATCGAGTCGTATTTGTCTTACAACCATCTGTTCCAAGCTGGGATTATACGATACATATAGTCCAGCTTGAGGAGGAGTGTTGAGAGTATTACTATAGTATTATTAGGGTTCACACTTATTATAATATGTATACCACACAGAGGGTGTAATTGTCTTTTGCATGTTTGTTCAGTAAGTATAAATATAAGTTGATAATGAGAGGTAGAGAAAGTTAAACCCTCTGTTTGCGTCTCCCATATTGTGTTAAGATCATAGTTGTTAAATCGCAATTCGTATTGTGAATATGAATGCNCGTCTCCCATATTGTGTTAAGATCATAGTTGTTAAATCGCAATTCGTATTGTGAATCGGAATACTAAATTTGAGAATCGTGAATCGTAAGATTGGACACAAAATTTGAACAAAAATAAAAAAAAATATNAATTTGAGAATCGTGAATCGTAAGATTCGACACAAAATTTGAACAAAAATAAAAAAAAATATTATATATTTAAAATAGACAAAATATTAAATATTAAACATTATTGCATTCTAAAAATAATCAATTGACATAATCACATCGTCTAAATAGAAAAACGCTAGTCTTTTGTTTCTTTTTTATCTTTTGCTTAACTATTTTTAAATTTAACAATTTGAAAAAAAAATTCATAAAAGAACAATGGTTATTCAAGAATCAAAATAGCGACACCCAGTATAGATTAAGTTATAAACATGAATGAAAAAATAACAAATAAAAAAATTGATTGAGAGAAAACATACTAGCCAACATATTGAAACAAAAAATTAGAACCTAACAAACTACACATGAAAGAATTGATAGCAAAAATCAACCAATGATTTAAGAGCGTTAGCCGTGACCTTTAGCTTTAGACAAAGCAAGACGAGTTTTAGACTACATCAGAGAAAGATAACGAGCAAAGAGGTTGAGATTTTTTATGGTATAGGTTCCTTTGTAAACAAAACGATGTCGTTTTACTGTTTAGCAGACAAAACGACATCGTTTTGCCAAAAAATTGGGTTTTAAAAAAAAGTGATTGAATCGTGCGATTCGTGAGATACGAATCGAATCGTATGAATCGTACGATTCAGGCGCGATTCAACTTTAAAACGATTCTCATATAAGATACGAATCGTTTTGTATCTGTATCAAATCGAATCGTACTATTTTGATAACTATGGTTAAGACTGCCGCTACTCTAAACTTATCATGGTATCAGACTGATAAGTAGAAAAGACACCAGGCAAACCAGTCAAATACAATAACGAAGAATAGTGGCCTCAAAACGAGTGGATATCTTAGTACTGGAAATTGGCTAGCCTCAACTAAAACTTTGTGGAAATTGGCATGAGTAGTGATACACGATGTTCATTGTATTTCTTCTAGGCATTAGTTCTTCTAGACGAAGAGCGGAAGAAAGAGCAAGAGCTGCAACTGATTCTGCTATTATGCATTGCAGCTGCCGCTGCACAAGATCAAGTTGCCGAGATTTTTACAAAGCCATTGAAGCATGATGTGTTTGGAAGATTGAAGATGATGCTAGGAATGAGAACTCAAGGAAACTGGGTTTAAGGGGGGGATTGTTAGTTTGTAAACCCAATTTATTGTGTAGTTTTGGTTTTCCAGTTTTTGGGTTGTTCTTATTATTTATGAGTTTGTTTGTCCTTAGTCGCAATAAGGTTATTTTAGTATTTTTTGATTGGTGTCAAGGGGGGCAGCCACTGGATTCTTTTTTTTCTTGGCTTTAGAAATCTGAAGGGGCAACCACTTGGGTCTGTGTAAGGGCTGCCCAGTTGAGTCAGTTTTGGCTAGAAAACATGAGATAGAAGCTATGGAATTGTAGGCTTTAATANGGATTCTTTTTTTTCTTGGCTTTAGAAATCTGAAGGGGCAACCACTTGGGTCTGTGAAGGGCTGCCCAGTTGAGTCAGTTTTGGCTAGAAAACATGAGATAGAAGCTATGGAATTGTAGGCTTTAATAGGTCTATTTTGCTGATGAAAAACAGAATATAAGAGGCTTGGGCAGTTACTTGAAAAACAGAAGGGCAGTAGCTGAAAAACAGAGAGAGAAGCAGAGAGTTTTCTGTAGAGGAAAAACTGTGTTTGCTGGAAGAAAAGGCAATAGGTGCCGACTGGAGCAGCAGCTCCATACATGAGTTTTGACGGCAGCCAATTTCTTTGTTTTGCTGAAAATTTACCAGATGAGTTTTGCTTTTGTATTTGCTTGGTGTTATATTGAATTTTTTATGAATAGAGAGCATTTTTGGAGAGTGATATGTGATGCATGCAAACAGATTTTCTGCCACTGTTTTGGTTTGTATTTGTTCTTGTTCCTCGAGTATTTGGCGAGATTATTGCAATTTTATACCCAACAAAAGCCATGACGATTTTTCATACAATTTGTTGCCTTGACATGTAAAAGGTACGCTTACTGTTAATATATTCTCTATTGTGCTTGCGATTCTCTAACTGTTAATATTTTCTCTATTTTTCTTGTGAATTTTACCTTTTTGAAGAAACATTGAAAATTAACTTGTGAGATGTTTTTGCTCTTAACATTTGAGAGACCAGGTGCGTACATGTAGTAAATTGAATAAGAAAACTATGCCAAGCATTAGGGCACCCAGCTTAAGCAAGACCACACCAATTAATGGCCTTGTAGATTCTAAAGAATAGAAAATTTAGAAATTGATGGTTTCGTAAAGTTTTTTATGGGTAGAACTTATGTGTAAATTTGCTTTACTATCAGTATATGCTCGAACATTATATTGGATTCTTAATCTAATTATATTTGCAGCATTTAAGAATACCTTTTTGCATATAACTGAAACAGTAAGGATCTTAGTTTCTTTCTTTATGGTTCTTTCAAGTTGTGGCGTCTTTGGTTTTTCCTGCAGTTCTCTCTCTCTCTCTCTCTCTCTCTCTGTTGATTATGTGAGTAGTTTTTTTCCCAATTCACCCCGTACACTGGGCTCACCACAATCCCCAAAATCCATATTGCCCCTAGATGTGCTCCACTCCTGTGCCTGTCCACAGGGCAGGGCATGGCAGTTCAGCAGGACATACCATTAGGCCATTTAGGTCCATGCACTACAAGAAATTAATGATACACTTGGCCAGTAAAGACTTATAATTTCATAAATTGTTGGCATTTATGCTAAACATTGGCGTATTACAGCTGAAATTCTCTTACGTTCCCTCCACCGATTTCACCATAAAAGATTTTTACCCAGTAATCCCCAATGGGTCTTGTCTCCTACAATCATCAAAGCCCTAGCTTCCCCCAATTCTGTTCCTCTGTCTGCCTCTGGTCATCTTCCTCTCGCTGCCTTCATTCGCTTTCCTCTCTCTGTTTCCGTTCACTTTCCTCTCTCTGTCTCCGTCAACACTTCACCGAAGCCCTAGCCTCCAACAAATTAGGGTAACCACCAATTGTCATTCACAAAGATTGTTGCTCGCAAAGATCGTCCTTCACTGCGTCAATTGATTGTCCTTCGATCCTCCATTAACGAGATTTGTTGTTCTTTGGCCTCTCCACCGATTGTTCATCACACCGATAATCCTTCGATCTTTGATTCGAAAGAACTGTATAACATGGAGCTTACACTCGCCATGCCACTCTTTCTATCTTCCAGTCAGTCCATCTCTCTCTCTCTCTCTCTACTATCAAGTCCTTAATGATTAGACTTCAGTTTGTTTTCTTGAGCTTTGGCTAAGCTGCTACTTGTTTTTTTCAGCTTTCAATTTCAGAAAAAAGTTCAAAATTGTTAGCTGGTATCTGGGGTTGAATCCATTAGTCTGATAAGCTGAATTTCTCGCTCTGTCTTGCCATTTTTGACTTTTGTCAGCTTGATTAAGGTTGAATCCATTAGTTTCTGTGGTTGCGACAAAGCTGAGTAAGCTGATTTGCAGTCTTTGATGCTAGTAAGTTTCTCTCTGTATTTCTCAATAAAGCAATTCTTTTAAATACCTCATATGAAGCAAGTGTATGAATATCCAATAAACATCCTTGATAATTTATGACCTACTGCTTTTTTCTTCGTCAAATGCAGTCTTCAGGCGGTGGAAATTCAGCATTACCAAAAGAGAGCAAAAAATTGCATGTTATCAACCGTGGGGTGAGTTTTATAGAATGTATCTGTATACTATGCTATGAGTTATAAATCCATTACACTCTGAATGAAATTTAAAGTTATTGTATTAGTTCATCTTAGTGTAGATAGATAATTAATTAAGGTCATGCTAGTGCTTATCGTTCCTGACATTTTTTGGTAGTCAAGCAATTAGCTTAATTGTCGTTCCCACTAAGAAATAATTAACGTCATGCTATTAGTAATAAAACCAATACACTTATATTGAAACCAATAAACTTAGATTGAAGAGGTAAATGCAGGTTGGTGAATACCAAAGTGCATACAAGGTTAGACTTTCTCGATGACATAATCTCTCTCTCTCTCTCTCTCATGTGATGTGTATTGAAGACCACTGCTGGATTTAATTCAGTCAACTGATATGCTAGATTTAATTCAATCAACTGATATGCTGGATTTGGAGACATTGACTTCTCTGTGGATGCAATATGCAGGCGTCAGAGAGGAGAGGAGTATGGGGATGGTGATGAAGGAGGTAGATGGCGATCTTGCTCTGTTGCGCCGCTATGAAAATCAGAAGAACGATCTTCTTATCCGTAACCCCAATGTGTTAAATGATCCATCAGGTATGGATTTCTGTTCAATCGGTTTCAAATTTCGAGTCATCAGCTTTTCTCTTGGATTGATTTTTTTTGAATCTGCATTGATGGATTGCCAATATACTTACATTGGTGCAGGATCGAAGCGTGACCACTCTTTTGTGACGAGGGCAACTTCTTCAGATCCTGGTCACAATATACTACGAATAAAGTAAACACCCAAAAAAGAATATACTTACATTTACAGGTGGAATTTTGTAATGTCATCTTTGAATGCATGTCTCTTCATGAGTATGTTATTGCTTCTGCCCCAGTGTAATTCTGTCTATTGCTTCTGCCCCAGTGTAATTCTGTCTATTGCTTCTGCCCCATTTGAATGCATGTCTCTGCATGTGTGTTTTATGTTTCCGAAGTTCATGTGGGAAGGTATTTGGCTGGAATAATTTGTCATTGATGAATAAATCTGCTCTGTATATGCGTAACTAATGTCTATTTAAAAGACTAGTTTCACGTAATTAAAATAGAGCTTTATTGGACTCTGTAATGTTTGGGAATATATTGTGACTCACCTGTAGTAACTTCAGAATTTTGGTTAATTTGATTCCCTGTTGTTGGTAATTTAATTGTTAGATGTTAATATTTAATGGCTAGTTATTCCTATCTTTAATGGTTGGTGGATTTGAATTGGATAATTTTTGAATGTATTGCATGTTTTTTGTTTGATTTTAGTGCACAGGTCTATTGAACTACGCAAAAAAAAAAAAAAAAAAATTGCTGCTGTTTAAATAAATGCCAGAAATAGTAACACCGGTCGCCGGAGCCACACTAGTGTTTGATTTTTCGCGGGTTTACATCACTTTTACCCGCAGCGAAATAGATGGCTTTGCAACAAAGATCATTGCCGTCGTTTATAAATGATGGCTTTGCCAAAAATTCTTGTAGTGGTGGTATTTCCTCTCTAATGTCTTTGTACCTGAAAGCTGTAAAGATTAATAAGATGTAAAATAGATGATTCAAATCCTAGGATGGAAGGAAGAGAAATGGATACTCTGATTTGAAGTGAATTGTCAGAAGACTCAGAATTCCATACTTAGCCTCATAGATACCAGATATGTTGGTTATTGCTTGCCACTACTGTAGGATATTTTTTTCTTAGAGAACTGAAATTGTATTTACTACAAAATTTTTTATTTTCTTTAAACCTCCTCTTTTTCTTGCTTTTAGTTCATTAGGTACTATATCCTGCCGGTCCAGCCTTTGCATCCATTGCCTATTTGTATTGTTCATTCTAGAAACACTCTGCTGTCATGGTCCTCCATGTGACCATTTTTCTATTTGCTCGTGATGTAAAATATATGAATTGAGAAAGAATATGTTCATTGTAATGGGTAGTATATGAGTGACATAATTGCTCTGGTTAAAGGGTATACGGTCCTTCAACTCATGCCTTAAAAGACATTCTGAAAAAGACATTCCGGGGGGACTATCATCTTGTCCTTTTGATAGTCATCAATGGAGAATTTTCATACACTGCTGCTGCATATTCTGTATTGCTTTCCTCAAATGTTTTGTTTCTAAGCAGTGGCTTTGCAGTTAAAAAGTAGATAATTGCTGTTATTGTTTACCGAATAGCGTTTCCAGCTGTTTGCTTGTTTTAGCCTTTTATATCTAATTTGATAGAGTTTCGAATATGGCTGGAGGTTAGGCTGTTTTGTTGCTACCAACTTCTTTATTTGTAGTCTAGTAGATTTACATGTTCTAGTGGATCTAAAATCGGGTTTTGTATTTATCAATAAAAGAGGTGAGGTTCTGCTGTCTTACCTGAGAATATTTACTAGGGTAATCCTCTAAAGGCATACAAGTGCGCCTGTCGTGCTTGATACAGTTACTATGCATATATGCATTCAGGTCTACAATTTTATGTACCTTAATGCACAACTATAAGATGTCTATAATGAATGGTTGGAAGCCCCGCAAAGGGTTTTGGCTTCTCATTGGACTGGCAATGCTTAGAGCAGTTTATATTTATTAGATGGATCGGTGGCAAGACAAAAGTGATAGGCAATTCTTGCATTCTTAAGGAGTTGGAGGTGTAACTTTACTAGGGGATGGGAGGAGAAGATTGTTGAACAATGCATGAGGATGAGGAGAAGATATAAAAGAAACATAGTTAAGAGGAATAACGGATATATGTTTTAATAAATGTATCAAGAAGTCTTCAGTAAGTGTCCGATATATGTTTTCATTTTAGCCATTGACGCGGCCTTAGAAGTGTCGGACACATATTTAAAATTTAAAATTTTATTTCTTACTCACGAACATGCGGAAAGTGTCCCAAGGGGTATTCCGAGAATGGGCAGAAAAGTTTTGAAGATGTGTCGAAAAGTATCTAAGGGCTGTTTGTGTCCAGCACCCGTTTGACATTTAGCATATCCGTGTTTCTTAGTTACAAATCAAAGGGCAGCAAATTAAATACATGAAACTTCTTAGACTTGTCCGTGTTTCTAGTTATAAATCAAAGGGTAGTAAATACATGAAATTAATTTTGCTACCTCCCTTCCTAGCTATAACATTTGCTAGCAACTACAAATATTGTCACTAACTGATGTAGTTAGTGCTCGTTGTAATTCTGGTCTTAAGTTTTCTTCCAAGCATCTCCGATCACAGCTCTGCCCCTGATATAGTGACCTCAGCTTTGGTTGGAGGAAGTGTGGTACATCAAACCTTTTTCTTGCATGTAATGCCAAGGTTCTGTAGAGTCTTAGTTCTCTCCCTTCTTTGATTAAAGTTCTTTCTCTGCTTTGATTAGAATTATTTAAGTTATCCAAGAGAAAAAACATAGGGTATTGTGTCAGATTTGAAGGAAACATTATATAAAATATTCCTTGTGCTCCATCATGTACAAGGCACTCTCTAGCTTAATGACGTTTTCACGTTGAACCTTGACGAAGTTTTAGTTGGTGATTGATCCTTAAAATGACAGTATAGTGCATTAAGTTTCTGGCACTGCAGGGTGTATGAATGGTCTGATTTATTCTGGAGCGGGGGAGAGATTCAAACTTGTGATATCTAAGTTATGATGAAATAACTTTATCATCATCTTAAATTCAACTCTCACGGTCATACATCATTATCTTTGAGGGAAAATTAACAAAAAAGAAAAACACTACTCAAGTAAAGTCCCCTCAATATGATGCTCCCACCATACTTCTTTGGTCTAGTTGTCACAAAATGACTAGAGACATCTTCCTTTAAGCCGAATAGACGAAGCAGTACTCAGTTAAACAAGCATGGAAGGCCGAAATTTTCGCCCAATCAATGCTCCACCAAGTCTAAATTAATGTTGATCTCTACTAACCTTTAGATTGTATATGCTTAAGGCCATCATGGAAACCTTTAATAGCTGTAGTAAATAGGGTTTAGGGGTAACAATAATTATGATCATGACATGGTAATCTGCATTATTAGCCTAATCGCTGATGTGACATAGCTGAAAGCAAAAATTAGTGAGCCTTAATCAGTATATACCATCTCAGGGTTTAATGTCTAGGTTGGTTTCATTGTTTGTTTTCTAATCCTTGGCTCTCACATGCCTTCTCCTTTCTTTATCGAGCCAAAGGAAGATAAACATAGATATTGTTTGGATGGTAGGATAAAGAGATTTGAACCCATGTTGTGTTAGATATAATTAAAATGCCATCTAATCTAGTTACTTTATGTTTGGGGAGAAAAAAGTATATGAAAAAATTTCATTCTAATTTTATCCGATCGACATGAATATTGACTTTTAGCCTATATTAATGGATTAAATGTAACATATGAGAAGGGTGGGTTAAAAATCACTTATATGGACAACTTATTCAATTATTACATTGGCTTCGACATGGAGTTAAATTGGATACGAAAAAGAGTATATGGTAAAATATTTAATAGTAAGGTTCTACTAGTATGAATCAGTCGGGCTAATCGGTGACTTCCACGTAATAATCTAACAAGACAAACATTGGCTTGGAGAGGGAGTAAAACATAAACCTTAAGCCAACGGAAGTGGTTGAATGACATTAGTTTGGATGGGAAAGGTTATAATCTTATCCCTTTAGGTGGTTTTTGTTTAACAGGATTGAGGGGGATTAAAAGTGAGATTGGATTAAAATAGTGAAATGACCCACTTATCCCAAGTTTGGTTGAAAAATTTGGAATCCTCTCCTCGTGGGATTCAAAAACTCGGCATGCTCCACGGCTGGACTTGAATCCAGGTCAGAAGGGATTATCTAAACCCATGGCCATGGAAGGATTGAAAACCTAGTGAATGGATAAATGATAAAATTATAAATTACACCCTTAAATAGTGTTTTTTGCTAGGTTTTGGTACCTAGCTCCATTACTTTCCACAACACAGCATCCCCACTGATCCTCCCCGCTAACGGCGCCGAAGTCCAAGGTCCAGGTTTCTCCCTTTCCCCCCTCTGTCTCTCTCTCTCCCTCTGTCTCTTATCTGTATTGGCGTATTATATTGATGACTGTGATTCCTGTGTGTAGAATTTTATAATAAACTTGGTTTGGGTTGCAGAGTGTGGACCACTGTTCCCCTTCTTCCTAGAAGAGATCTCTGTATCTGTCTATATAACAGAAGCTCAATAAAAAGGGAATTTTTTTTTTTGGCCAAGTATATAAACCCATTTCATTTTCAGTCGTGTCTCCATCGTCTCTCGCGCTCCATTTTCACTATGTCTTTCCTTTCTTCTCTGTCAATCAACTCTGTCCAGATTGAGTTTCAATTCTTGTATGACCCTCTTAGTGCACTCTAGCTCCTTTAAAACTTGCATTTTTGCATCTTCAACAGGTTCAGACTGTTTCTTATGCAATGGAATTTCCTCCCACACTTTCTCAAGTTCCTGTTCTACAAATTTGCATCTCTGCGCACGCCATAGAAGAAATTTGGAATTAGTTTTACGAGACGGCAGTTTCTCTACTTCTAAATACAATGTTGCACTGAACACAAATCCGGGTACAAGACATCATCACACAATGACAAAGTAAAATTAAATACAAAACCAAATGTTCTACTTTTTAATCTCTTTGATATTCATATTTTTTGTTGTAAAAAAAAATATGCTAATGGATTGAATTTTTTTTTTCATTCCATTCCAAACATGGTATAGGATTGGATTACATTGTTTACACAAAGGGTACAATAATCATTTTAACATATTTT